TCTCCGACGAATTTGCAGGGGAGAAAGAAAAGAGATGCAAAAAGACTAAAATACCCCCATTATTTTAACTACTAAAATTTTCTGGCAAATTTTGGTCAGCAATTTGGCCAGAGTGACCAAAATTATAAAAATTGCATAATCAATCAAGGTACCAAATTAACACTTTTAAAAGTTGTGGACTGCAATTAACATGATCCCTATAGTCACATGACCAAAATTGAAATTTACTCAATGATGTTACTAAAGTTTGTATATAAATGAAAAAGTAAAAAGTAAAAGTTGATATCTTTGAAAATGTCTTAGTATTGTACAAGGAATAAATCAAAATGTACAAGAATAACTTTATTACACTAACATAATTTTTATTTCCGTTATCACTTTCATCTTCTTCTTATTATATATATATATATATATATATATATATATATATATATATATATATATATATATATATATATATATATATATATATATATATATATATATATATACTAGTATTTTTTATGCACGATGCGCAAAAAATAGGTGCCCAATATTAATACTTTATATTAAAATTTTAAATTTATTTAGATTTTAGATATTTAAATTATTGTAAATAATAATAATAATAATAATAATAATAATAATAATAATAATAATAATAATGTAAATTTTTTTTATATAAATTTGATATTTATATTTTAGAAAATAATTAACATATAATTCTAATATATAATGTGTATATATTATTATTATTATTGAAAAAGATAAGAAAATATATGGTGGATGCATGTGCATGATAACAATAGTGGAAAAGATAACGGAAGTTATAACGGTAGGGGTATGTTTGTCCAAAATATTGTAAAGTACAACTTTTATAGCATAATGTATAAAAAAAACTTAACGGAAAAAGGGACATAAATGAAGGGTATAACCTTCATTCACACTTATTATGTTTTTAGATATATATATATATATATATATATATATATATATATACTAGTATTTCTTATGCGCGATGCGCAAAAAATAGGTGCCCAATATTAATATTTTATATTTAAAATTTATTTAGATTTTAGATATTTAAATTATTGTAAATAATAATAATAATAATAATAATAATAATAATAATAATAATAATAATAATAATAATATACACATTATATATTAGGGTTATGTGTTAGTTATTTCTTAAAATATAAATATTAAATTTGTAGAAATGTTTCATTATTATTATTATTATTATTATTATTATTATTATTGAAAAAATAAGAAAATATATGGTGGATGCATGTGCATGGTAGCAATAGTGGAAAAAATAACGAAAGTTATAACGGTAGGGGTATGTTTGTCTAAAATATCGTATAGTACAACATTTATAGCATAATGTATCATAAAACTTAATGGAAAAAACGGACATAAATGAAGGGTATAACATTTATCCACATTTATTATGTTTATATATATATATATATATATATATATATATATATATATATATATATATATATATATATATATATATATATATATATATATATATATATATATATATATATATCGTACTTTTTTTTTTCTTTTAATAGAATCAGAATATGTAACGATAAGAGGTAACTCCAACTGAGTTGGTTTGGTAACCAGAAATTTCAGTGAGTCAATTATAGGCAACTAGATTGATTTATCTCATAATAGTCCTTTACCGACTAAGGTCATAAGGCATGCAGTAGCCTCTACACCTCCCACAAAAAGATAAATTAACTTAAATTGTCTTTAATCGATCGACTCAAACCAAAAAGACTAATAAACAATTCAAATAGAAAATCACACTTGAAATATTTAGTTACCAAAGTAAATATTTATCCAATGTGTTGAGGTTTCCCCACATAAATCATTTTTCTAATATTAATGATGAAGGTTGTGATACCAACTTCTTTTGGAGTCGTGAGAAAAAGTGGAGAGCCCAATGATGGGTATACAACTCATAAGAATGGGATGCTCAATTGTGCATTGCCCCTACTCACATGCATATTTTCCATTCCTAACCCCACAGACAAAACAAAACAAAACCCACCAAGTTTTTGTCCCTCCCTATAATATATCATTTTCCTTATCTTGTGACCCATTTTTTAAAGTAGAAATCGCCCTTTTTGTCTCATAATCCTTGTCTCAAGAATGTCATTATTTCAGCTGGACTGCCATTACTTACACAAAGTTTCATATGTATTTACCACCAAAATATGATTAATGGAGTGATCAAAAGCCAAACAGACACAACCATGCACCTTGATAGGAGGGGTGTTTTGGTCATTGTATAATAATAATTATTATTTACTTTTGACATTGAAGAATTTAAGTTCACCTTCGAACTTAAAATTATAGGTTAATACCGCTAGACTACAAAGCTCTTAGAGCATCCACAATAGAGATTTTGGTGTGATTTTTGAGAGAGTTTTTACTGGAGTGGAGGAGATAGAGGATTTGGGGTTCTCATGCAACGCTGCATGCACTTGATTTTTCAACAGTGCAGTGGGCCCCACAAATATGAAAAAGAAGCCTCCGTCTCGAATTAGTTATCACATTTGCTTTTTGCATGTTTTTTAAGGAATTAAAGTAAATGATATGTGTTTTTCAATTATGTCCCTTACTTTTCTCACTTTTGGAAATAAAAGCAATAAAGAAAGCAAAACTCATGTAAATTGAAAAAAAGTAGAATGATGGTCATGTTCAATTTTGGAAATAGGACAACATTTTAGAACAAACTAAAAAAGAAGTAAGACAGTAAAATAAGACAGAGAGAGAGTACTATATTATAAGCCGGTTATGTTGTAAGTTCAAATCTCATTTTTATTTTTGTTTTAGCCTTTAGTTTCAAATGATTTAAAAAAAATAATAATAATAATTCGAATCAAAAACTTTTAGTAACGAACTATTCATTTTTTTTTTTAATTCTAAATTGGAACCGACAATTTTATTTTTAAAGAACCCTAATCCTTTTAAAAAATTTTAAAGTTCCAATTAATAAAATGTTTGGCTTTAGTTAAATAGTATAGTTTGAATCAAAGAGCCAATGTCGTAACTACTAAATGAAATAGACTTCTTAAAAAAAAAAAAAAAAAAAGAAAACAACAACAACAACAACAATTAAAATAAGTCAAATTAAAAATTCCAAACATGCATTGATTTCTACTCTTTCAAATTCTAAGAGTGGCATCATCATTTTATCTTTTAAGGAAAAAAAAAATGAAGAGGATGTACTTGTTTAGTTTAATTTAATTTATGTACACCTCATAATAGCCGTCCAAACATTATCGTCCTTTCATTTGTACTTAATTATGATTTGGAGATGATTATTTTGTGGACCATGATCTACATAATTGTGTGGATCATATTTTTAAATAATATTTAATATATGAGTAGTGTATTTTTAATATATTAAAACTGTACATTATATTTTAGAAAAATACATTATTTGAGTATTAAAAGTACATAATTTAATACGAAGTATAATGTCTATTCAATATACTTTTTAATATATTAAAAAATATATTTTTTTATTATGATTTACAGAAGACTGTGAATTATGGTACACAAAATAATTTGCCATGATATGGCACCACAAACTTTTTCTACATTAGTTTTTTGTAAATTGATGGGTCAGAAACAGCCGCCTAAACCAACCCCTCTCAATTATTAATGTTGATTATACAATATTCTGGAATGATCATTTATTCAAAATAAAATATAAAAAGAAAAAGAAAAAGAAAAATGAATTGAATATAGAGACTTTGATAGGTGGCCTCCACCTAAATGGATTGGGGGTTGGGGACTGACAGCGAAATGAAATGTTACTCCCGTAACTTAGTTTAATTAATGAACAAAAACAAATAAGTATAAGCAAAAATTTTGTATTTATTTATTGGAAGTAAATTAGTTTATATGGAGGATAAGGAGGGGAGAGAGAGGGGCATTTTTATTGAGAATATTATTCATTGGCTACATATTTTAAATTTAAAAATATTTTATAATTAAATTATTTAAACAATTAATAAAAAAACATATAATGTCGTTGTTAGTTTATTGGGTTAGTAATTTTGACTAGTTGATAACATTAGCTGATTGTAAAAAGATGTTTAGTAAATTGTTGTTAGCTGATAGCTGATTACATGCAAAATAAATTTCTCAAAAACTGATCGAAAAAAACTACATTTAGCAGTTTTTTGAATTTAAGCATTTTGAAACAATAAGTTGTTACAAAAACTTAATTACTCAAATACTCATATTAATTGTTTAGCCAAAATTGACTGATAAGTTAACTATGTTACCAAATAGGCCTTCACATTTTAAGTTTAAGTTTTTTTTTTTTTTTTGAATGCTTTTGACTCTATTACAATGTAATATCTGTTCATAACTACTTTTTTCAACCTACTGAAGCACAAAGAGTCAATAATCAGCATAAAATTTTGAATTTAAATTTCGTAAATGAAACAACCCGCATTGAAATAACTCCACAAATAGGGATATTTTAAAAATAAAATCTTTCATAATATTTCAAAATTGTGAGTGATTTTAAACTTTTTCTGGTCATATGTCTCTGATATTTGATAAACACACTAAATTTTGATTAATTTGAAATCAAAACACTATCAAACTCCACATAACAATTCTTTTAATACTTGATCTTGTACACAATACTCCAACATAAAATCTTATTTAAATAAAATGAAAATTTTTTTCCCACTTAAATCATACATGATCAATTCATCATTGACTTCAATTTTAATTAAACAAAACATGCTAAATGTCATTGAGCTAATCATTGTCATGTATCCTCATCATGACAGGAATGGGATAATATAAATATATGAAAGCCAGCTCTCTCTCTCTCTCTCTCTCTCTCTCTCTCTCTAGTGATTTGTCCCTTTAGTCCTTTAGAAAACAGCCTGAACACAAAGGAAAAACTGGAAAGAAAAGCAAGTTGAAGCCCCACTGCAATGATTCATGGGCAGATAGACTGATAAGAGTAAACAAAAAAGAATTAAAAAATTGTCCATTAACTTGAATATAAGTGTTCATATCATTTGCAGATTTAGCCAGACAATAAACAGCTGGTTCCTGTTTACCATAACATTTCTTCGTGGCAATAACATATGCATTTTAGCAGCTAATTATTAAGAGCTATACACTTCATTTTTCTTCATCCGATTCGTGGGTTGATTCGAGGCGTATGTGCGGGCACACCCTTTCCGGTTCTCCCCTCGTCCACAGAATCTTAAGGTCTCCTCGCTTTCTACCCAATGCCAGAAACGTCCCTGCATCGTGGTGTTGTAATGTAAGTTAATTCACAAACCAAAACTTCGGCATTTCACACGGATTTTACTTACCGAGGGTAAATGGAACGATGTAAAGAAGTGCGGGTTGGCCATGGCCATCCATAAGGTTCAACGCTACATATGTAACGAGAAGGCCTGCAACGGATATCAGATGGGACAAGTTCAAGTCTTATCTTTATGATTATACGGTTGAATAATGTGGCTATAAATCGAGTGTCAGATTAGGTACCTAATCCATAAGCAAGCATTGCCCACAGAAAGTAACCAGCTCGGAGATTCTTCTTTGCAAGCCAATCATACCTGCAAGGGACAAAAAACAGTGCAACACTAATTAATCAAGAACGAGAACACTATGTTCTTGGACAAGACACGAGATGACAAAATAACAACTGCGACTAAAGGTTTGAACTGAAATCCAGCAGAACCGAACCTCAGTGAAAATGAAACCAGCAGTCCTGGTAGAAGGATGTCGCCAAAGCCTATGATGCTATAACCACCCCAGGGATCAAATAGGCGTGGAATCTTCAGTAGCATAGGAATACCATCCTCGCCGCTTCTATCACCACGAGCTACCTATAAGAAGAAAGTCTACGTAACCCATTCATTTGAAAGCAAGTTGGTCTAATAAATTAGGTTATTACCCACCACAATCATCACACTTTCATGGAACAGCTTCTTGGAAGCAAACACCCAAAATATGTCGTACAAGAAGGCGCAACCCAGTAGTACTGTTCCCACCTGATTGAAAGACCAGAAAATATTGTGGGACGTATAAGCTCATTTTTCAGTATTGTTCCACATGGAAAAAGACATCACAAAATGGTTTGCAGAATGATTTTTTCATACTGTAACTGGGACCACAATGGTCTCACATAACTCTTTTACTGCTATAATTTTTTTTTTTGTGAATTTTTAAATTCCCTGGTGTTCACGGCAAAATGCCCATTTTTAATGTGTTTTCCTCTCTCTCTCTCTCTCTGACACACCTCCTTGGACAATTGTGTGTTTGGAATCCATATAGTTTAACTGAGCACTAGACAATCATGACTATGTGACATTCAAAGTTTCAACCAGTTAACCATATATATATCTTAACTCTTTTAATTTTTAAAATAATGGCAACTGCATGACATAACCATTAGAAAAATCATGGATGTTTATATCTCTTAAACGTAATTAATTTATAGTTCCTGGAAGGTTGAAGTATTACCTTAAGATTAGGTATCCGTACAATCTGAAGAACAGTGATAATAAGCGCAATGCCCTTATAAGAAAGATCAGAGAACATGGTTAGAAGATCAGCAACAAAACTAAAACAAGCTTTACGCATGCATGTCACACTCAATTATTATCAAAACCAAAAATGCAGCTTCTTACATATTTGGTGTACAACGGTAAAAAATTGTTAGAAGTTTTTTCAAATGGAAGTGAGGACTAAACCCACATTCACCTCAGTTCCATTTATGCCATAGCAAACCAATATGGACTAAATTTCAGGCATCTCTGTTAAATTTTTAGCCATAAACTATATTCCAGCTGCAAGAAAGTGAATGTGCCCTACATCTTTAGACACCTTGGTAAATGAGCAGAGAAGAATTCTTTGAAGTCTTGATTACGTAGCACTTCAGGCCACATATTTATTGACAGTTACTTCACCAATGTATATCTTGTAACAGGTATAAACAGTTGGCATCAGAGACGTGGCCTCCATCAACCTTTGAAAAGGGAGGTGAAATGTGTGTGATGGGTGAGTGGAGGGGGGGGGGGGGGTGGGGTGGGGGTTTTACATAACTAAAAGTTGATTACAACCAAATAAGGTTTTAATTGATATAAACTTGCAGTTTACAAGTATTGCATTGTCAGCTGTGAAATCTGTGGCATAACTTGAATAATTCATGGAGTGAGTAGTGAGTCATTGAGTAGAAGATTTAATTTCAATTTGGAACAGGATGTTCCCAAAAAAATTATTTTCAGAATTTTGACGGTTGCATAAGAATTACTCTGTATTGCCAAAGTGAATAAGCATTTGAAATACTACTTAAATTACTAAAAGAATAACAAAAAGGAATTTCCACTTACAAGTACATCTTGACCTATCCATGCAAATGATGATGTTCTGTAGACTGCCCATAAAACTGCAATAGCTATGCAGAACGGAGACACAGCCAAAGTAAGGTATGATACTGCTCCAAAAATAGGTACTTTAATGAATGAGTCTCCCATACGCTTGAACCACCTGAAACATTTATATATCACGATGTTTTCTAGCTCTAATGGCATAAAAAAATAAAATAAAATAAAATAAAATAAAAGATCATTACGTGAAACTCTATTCTTCACACCTCCAACAATATGATAAGGGTGTGACAAAACAAATTCTTTTATCTTCTCTATTCACTTTTTATTTGTTTTACCTATTTTTTGTCTTCCTAATGTCATATTAAAAATATATGGTCTCACGCCTTTCTAAAATCCACATGAAGAACAGTGTACAGTATAGTGTTTGAACTTATTAAGGAATATTGAGTTAGAAGGATAATAGGGTACAGTGGACATTTGTATTTGTTAAGTAGACTAATATGAGAGGAAGTAATTTGGAAAGGTTACAATATGAGTAAATTAAGAGACTTCGCAAAGCACTTTGCTTGCCAACAGATCTTAAGATGGTCTTACTGATTACTAGACTTCTAGCAGAAACAATCTACTCTTAAATAAACAGTTACATATCAAGACAAGTTCCCACACAATATGTTGCCATGATTTGCTGAAGGAATTCAAGGAAATAATCTAATTCAGGTAAGTGGATATTCTTTTGGACCATCTTGTAATAATAATGTCAAATAAAATCCGGGACAGTCAAAGTTCAAAGATTTAAAAAGCCTCTAGGATCCTTTAATCAAGCTAAAATATAGGAATTTTGTTACTCATCAAAAGAAACGAAATTTCTTGCTCCTCAAGCACTAGTTGAAGAAAGAAGTAAAAGTCAATATCTCAACTTTCTTCTTCTACTTCTATCTTTTGACTCACTTATTATCCCTAAAATTTATATAGTAATTAATACAAATTAGGAAATGCATGTTTGTCTGCATATATCAAATTCTCGTGAGAACCAATGCCAAAAATATAACCACAATCTGAATTTATGAACAACAAAGCAGCTTCCTAACTTCTTGCCATGCACTTTGCAGCCCAGTTTTAAACTTATAAAACAGCATGGACACATTTGTCAAGTTTGTTGCATTAGCACACACTTCACCAATAGATTATCATTAAAATTTAATCTGCGAAAGTATGCACTCCATAGAGCATCATGAAACAAAATACATACTACAAAAGTACAAAATGGCATACCGTGATAGCAAGGCCACTAAACAAGTTTGCAAGCCCTGTGGAGAAATCAGAATATGACCGAGTAGTTAAAAATATAGGCTAAATTGCATACTTATAAAGATAAATAAATCTAGCAAAAAAAGAAATAAAAATGTAAGCATGCTTCTTTAGATAGAAAATCCTGCTAGTATGTAAATAAACACGATAATATGTAAAAGGAAATTGTATGTGCAAGCATATTTTTGTTAATAGTACTTGTAGCTTGTTATAAGAGATAACACACACCTCTGCACCACCAATGCAAAAGACTACCACCAAGAGTTCAAAGAACCATGAGAACCTCATAAGTTTGTACAACAAGATCAAGAAGCAGGATGCAATGGCAACAAATAAGACTGCTGAAGTCATGTTTATATCCACCACACTGCTAGTATGAACAGGTCCTGTCTCTGGAATGTCATCTGAAGCATCCTACAAGAGAAAACAAATTGTCAATTTAAATATAAGAAATGCCAAGAGATGTACTTCTCAAATTGAGAAATAGAAGGATAACCTTTAACAACTTGTCGTGTTCTATAGCTGCTTCTCTAGCACTCCAAGCAGACCAATACGATGCACATAACACTGTACCAACAGCCATCAGCCATAAAAATACTTCTGCTATGTCAACTATTGGCCGCTTTGGAGAGTAAAGCTGCACAGTAACTTTAAAAAACATAAAAAGATTCAGAAAATCAGTACTCAATGAAAGAATCAAGAGAAACATCCTAAGAGAGAGTTCATGAATAGAGTTCTTATGAGGCCTTCTAGTACATGCTGATAGATGAAACCACTTGAATTGTTTAGAATTTTTTAAGTTGTCAGAGAAGGAATCTTCTATCAAAAACTTAAATTGAAGGTATAATGGTCTTCAAGTTAAATATTAGTTATATACCATGAAGCAAACAATCAAACATGCTTCTGTCATGCACAATAAGCTTACATTCAAAATCTTCCTGCATTCTCAACAATGCATTTTGGTTATTTTCTGCCAAATGGCTACCTAGATATCTACAAAGCCCAAGATTGATACAAGCTGCAAGTGAATAACCAGATATGTTCTGGATTGGAACTTTTATTACTAATTTGTTATTTCAAGCAGATAAGAACTTGAAAGAAAACATATTGGTCTCTATTTAAATTACTTAAAAGCATATTTCAAGGGATAGTTAGTTGGCTGTGGACTGCAGTGGACTGCTAATCCCCATACACTGCAGATCACTGCTATGTGACAAAGCAATTTGTCACCGACAGAAAACTGAATGTAATTGTGTAAATTCTTGGAGTTCCATGTTGATATAGCTATCCATAATGAGTGAATTCCATTTTTGGTCCTACTGTTATAGAGGTCATTCCAATTTTAGTCCACCATAATTATTTTTGCCACATTGCGTCCACTTTTATTAAAAGTGTTCCAATTTTAGTCCACGAAAAATCTTAAAATGGACTAAAATTGGAACACTTTTAATAATAGTGGACGCAATGTGGCAAAAATAATTATGGTGGACTAAAATTGGAAAAGCACCTATAACAATAGGACCAAAAATGGAATTCACTCTATCCATAATAGATAAAAAAAGCATGAATGATGATGAATACCTAGTGTCACATACGGAGAAAATCAATCTTTATTATCTACGACTTCATTCTCTTAAGACTTGTACCTTTCAACCGAAACTAAGAAGGTGATAGATCGATCTAACAATTTCCTTTAGGCATTGCATCCAAGAGAAAAATGCTTACCTGATGAATTACTCGATAGCATTTTCTCCAAAGTTGCACCAGCATCTTGGGGAAGCATGACAGCAGGTATCTTTATATCTAGGTCAGTTTCATCAGGATCACAAACCATCTTGTAAAGTTCTGCAGGAGAAAATGAACCTCAGAACACTAGCAGAAGTGAAAGATTATTAGCAGATCATGAACCACAAATATTTTCAAAAGGCATCTAGACACGACACCACAGAGAAGAAATTTTTGTTTCCTATCCTCCTTCCTAGATTCATCAGGGGAAAAAGAAACTCAGAAACACCAAGGAAAAAGCAAAAGTTTATTAGCATATCCTGAACCACCAAAAACAGTCAAAGAAAAGCATCTAGACACTTAACCACAGAAAAGAAGAAAGATTTGTTTCTTATCCTCCTTCCTAATTGAGAATTCGTTCTACTGTAATTGTCAGAAAAAAAAGTGCAAATCAAGCACTGTTGAATATTAGGAAACCTTTGTTGAATATTAGGAAACTCCTAGTAGGAGTGGGCTTAGCTTCCTATTCCTATTAGGGTTGATTTAGTCCCCATGTTCCTATAAATAGAGTACACAAAGAGACAATCTATTGTAATCTTTCATTATAATATATTCGTTCTATTCTCGTTTTCTTTGGTTTCACACATATTTTGCTTCCACCTAACTGGCGGGTGGTGGTTATTCTCCACCCCCCAGGCCTTTCAATCCCTCAATTTCAACATGGTATCAGAGCCTACTTTCCTAGGCTATTTTTCTTCAAATTTTTCCGGCAACACCTATTTTTCGGCGTAAACAGAAACCCGTGACTGTCTCTTAGATTCCGACGTTTCTATGATGGTTTGCTTCAAGATCTACCACCACGGGAGTGTGACTATCTACAATCAATCGGTGTTCTACTTTACTTATTTTACTTTGTTTTCTTGGTGTTCTACACTTCTACAGTTCTACTTTACTCTTATTCTCATTGATGCCATTCGGTTTGTTATCTTCATCACGTTGCTTTGGGTTTATCTTCATTACTATGGGCTCTACTGCATCCTTTGCTATTCTATTCTTTGCTCCCTTTCGCCTCTACCACTCTTGATGAAGACTTTTTTGGCATGTCCTAGAGTGTTTATGCTGTGTTATTTTGAGGTTGTTCATGTTCAACCCGTCCTTGGTGCGTTCATCTTCATTCCCAAAGATTGTGTTCAACTTCGTCCTTGGTGTGTTCATCTTCATTCCCAAGATCGTGTTTAGCTTTGTTCTTGGTGCGTTCGTCTTCATTCCCAAGGAATGGTCACGCATAGCGCCATCTCTTTTGAAGCCATCCAGCACTTATCCTCTAGCTGCATTTAATCTTCATTTGTAATTTTGAGTGAGGTAGAGTGCTTATTTTAATCCAAGCTAGGAACTTCTAGATGTTCCACCTTGCGGGGGAGTGTTGAATATTAGGAAACTCCTAGTAAGAGTGGGCTTATTTTCCTATTCCTATTAGGGTTGATTTAGTCCCCAAATAGAGTACACAAAGAGACAATCTATTGTAATCTTTTATTATAATATATTCTTTCTATTCTCGTTTTCTTTGGTTTCTCACATATTTTGCTTCCGCCTAACTGGCGGGTGGTGATTATTCTCCACTCTCCAGGCCTTTCAATCCCTCAATTTCAACAAGCACAAAGCAGAAAATAGAAGATAAATGCAGAAAACCTTTTTGGTTGTTTATTATAAGGACTGCTGAAGCCCCAGCAGCTTCTGCATAATTAGCTTTTGCAGTGAATTTGCAGTTTCCTCGATCTACCATGATGACATCTCCAGCAAGCTAACAAAAACCAGGACCAATTCACCATTAGAACTAAAAGTACTGAGCCCAATAATGCAGAATAAATACTGCAAACACATGTGAACTCAGAAATGAGAACCTTGTTCTTTGGAGTACTGCAACAGTCTCGAGGGTTTGACCGAGTTAGAAGAGTTTGATGTGCATTTTTCTCCTTCGACACAATTGTAGTGCCAAATCTAGCACCAACACCAACAAACTCAGCATCTTCTACCCCATCAACCCATGTTTGAATTTTCACCTAAGAGAAAATCCGCAGTTTGATAAATAAATGCTCAAAGTAAAATTAACAAGAAAATGCATGAATCATATGCATGTGCATATGAAATATGGCACATCAACAAATTTTTGTGCCAACAGAACTAAAACCAGAACACAATCCTGACTTCAGTGAGATTATTTTATATAAAGATCACAGGTTATGCAGTATAAGTACTAAATTATAACTTCAGCAGAGGAGGAACAGGAATCAGAAGCCATAGCTCAATCTCACTTATAAAGAAAGTCATGACTCAATCAAATTCAACTAAGCACAGAGTTTCCTTCTTTGTTTTGCCCTCTCTGCAATTGGATTAAACCAAGTTCCAAAAGCTTCAGCTATTACACCCTCAAAATTACCCCAAATCTCTCAACACCTCCTGAACAGTTTTAGGGCATCCAATCCAATACAAATTTCAGAACCTTACACAATTTAAACTATTGGACGGCTGAACCCCAAAAAGAAAAATCAGGAATGAGAAACCTACTCAAATTCAATCAACTTAAAACTAACCACAAATCAAAACAAGAAAGCAACACCAACTGATATCAATCATGAACAGCTAAATTATCATCTCAATCATTACAATAACTAAAAACAGACTTCAAAAACAAATTCTACTACAAATGAAAAAGATGACAAATTTCGATAAAATAAAGAAGACCCGTTTTAAGGAATCAGGAAAAACGAATTGGGTAGAATAGAAAAGCAGCAGAAGATGAAGTACCAGCACAAAATCATTCTCACAGCCGGGCTTTTTGGGGGCTAAATCGTCGTGATGAACAATGTCACCGGCGGTCACTGCAGATGGGATGCTGAAGACTACCACCAGCACTGAAACTAGGCAAATTAAGCAGCTAATCTTCCCAAAATCCATCGGATTTCAGAAGCTCTGTAAATATCAAACGCATACATAAACAGTAAAATTCGTGTGTATGTATAGAAAGAGGAAGAATTAAAAAGCACTTCTCCTTCTTCTGTGTCAATAATGAAAACCTCTTTTCATTGCCAGAAATTATTAAAATATTGCTTAGTCTAAATGTAGCAAAGTGAGATCAAAATCAAACAGTGGACTGTTGTTGATCCAGTGCGCTGCCTTATTTGGGGTTGACATTTACAAGACGGAAATCGTCGTACGCTGTCGTTTTGCTTTTTATATTCACTCTTTCATTTTCGCTAATATTCTTTTCTCAGTTTTACCCCTTTTCTGGTTGGGACTATAAATTATCAAAGATAATTTCAGATGGCCCCCCAAAGTGTTTAATGGTAGCAGCTGAGATCCTTGTTTTCTTCAAATATTATACTCAAAACCCCAAAGTTCTGACAATGATTAAAATAATTTGTCAAAAGAACGATCAAATAAACTCTTAAACTTTGCCAAAGACCTTATGGTCAAGCGGCATAAAGTGACTCTTCCAAATGGGAGGTCATGAATTCGAGCCTTAGTGGAAACGGTATTGACTCGTTGAGCTTCAGTAGGTTGAGAAAATATAGTGTTGGAGAAGATGGAAATTTAGCCGACTTCTTCATCTTCTCTAGTAACCATTATTGTATAATTTTTTAAAATGACATATTTACATGTTTTACCAGTTAATTAACTTAATTATAACAATTTAACAAATTATCAATTCAATCACATTAAATTTATGAGTTATATATTTAGATGCATTTTTTTTTAAATTCATGGTTTAAATTTTTTGTTATAAAGTTCGAGTGTTTGTTTGAATTTTTTTTTTCTAATACTCCTTTTTAAAACCATTTTCTAAAATTGTACAAGATGGGTAAACAACAACAACAACAACAATAATAATAATAATAAGGTGAGGGTATAAATGTATTATTTTATTTTTGTATTCTCTTCTTTAAGATGTAAATATTCTCCACAATTTCAACTTTCTTATCACCTCCTTTGTTTTACATTCATCCAATAATAGCTTTATGTGTTTTTTTTCTTTCTTTTTGCACCATCAATATATGAGAATCATGTTTCATTCATCAACTTAAATATAGTTTAAATAAATTAGTTTAAGACTATCGAAACTATTATTGAAAATAATATGAATTTAACACAACAATTTGCAACGGTTGTAAACGGATTACAACTGCAACTACAAGGTCAGAAATTCAATTCTTGTAAAGGGCCAATCTAAATTAGCCTCACAATTTAATGGTTGGAATACAAAATGTTAAATGAAAAAATGTATATATATTTTAATTTGTATGAAGTGTTCTTTACAGTTTTTTACTATTAAAGAACATTTTATATCAAAATTCAACATTTTAAATTTTCACAATATACTATATACTTAAAGAATAAAGATCATCAAAAATTTAATTCCTACAATATACAAATTGTAATTACACACAGCATGTGTACTATTTAATCCTTTGGAATTTTGAGTCGAGAGATATTTATATATGACATTAACATGTTTTGATGATTGGTTTCATGTACGTCATAGCAGAATTTGTATTACGACATTTGATAAAATAAAAACAAAAATGTTGATGTTATTTGATAAGTGTAAGTGTAATCATATATAAACATCAAATCACATTATGGTTCAATCACTAGTATGTGTAATCATATATGTATTCATAAAAATACAAAGGTGGACTTTTAATGTGAAATACTACTTATGTGTCATTTTATGTGTTTTGTTTGGTTAATGAGACTTGATGAAAGTTATTTATAATTCAAATTTTCATAATATTAAGTTTAAAATTAGTATGTGTGCAGTGGCGGAGCCACATTTAATGTGCCCCCCCCCCCCCCCCCCCCCCTCCCAACCAATTTTTTTTTTTATTATTATTAGTATAGTAGTTTTTTTTTTGGCCCCCCTCACTAAATATTTGTTATTTTGCCCCCTCCAAGCAAGCTTTTAGGGTAATTTAGTGGATTGCTAATTTGCTATATAGTTAGTTTTTTTAATTTGCAAATGAAATACATTGCAATTGTGTTTATTATAATTTATAATAATAAATTGTCATTTTGCTACCAAAATCTTTAAATTTCTGCTACTTTAATCTTTGTCTTTTTTAATTTGCAAATGAAATACATTGCAATTGTGTTTATTATAATAATAAATTGTCATTTTGCTACTAAAATCTTTAAATTTTTACTACTTTAATTTTTTATCTTTTTTAATTTGCAAATGAAATACATTACAATTGTGTTTATTATCAGTAAATTCATTTACAAGTATTGAGTCATTGAATTTTGGAAGACGTTCCAAAGTTTATTAGATTTGTAATATAATGATGTGTTTTGAAATATGTTAAATAAATATTTATATGTTTTATTATTCCCTCTCAAATTGTAATTGGCCCCCGCACCAATCAATCCTAGCTCCGTCCCTGTATGTATGTATGTATATATATATATATATATATATATATATATATATATATACTTAGAAACTACATGAAAAGTACTATTAAACACAAAAAAAATAAAAAAATACTAATGAAAATAAGCAAAAAAGAAATAATTGATTTGATCAATAAATAGTAAACATGACATAAAATGAGATAGGTGTAGTATTTACTGACCAATTAAAAATATATAGCAATGATAGTGCATAATATAAGGAAAAAAGCTAATCATCCCTATAATTGTCACTCACAAACAACCATTCCGTGATGTGACATTTTGCTGCATCACAAACATGCAATAATTATCAAAACATGCAATTGGCACATCAAGAGTGATTGTTTGTGACTAGTAAATGTAGGGGTATGTAGCATGGTTCATAATATAAAGTCGGGAGGAGCTTAAATAGCGAAACCATAAAACAAAAGTGATGTGACATTATTTTGGCGCATCACAAACATGCAATAACTATCAAAACATGCAATTGCCACATCATAAACATGAAATTACCAGATCATGAGTGACTATTTGTGAGTGGTAAATGTAAAGATATGTATCATGATTCATAATATAATGTTGGGAGGAGCCTAAAGAGTGAAATCAGAAAACAAAAGTGATGTGACATTTTGGAGCATCACAAACATGCAATTGTCACATCATTAACATGGTTCATAATATAATGTTGGGAGGAGCCTAAATAACGAAACCAAAAAATAAAAGTGACATGACATTTTGGAGCATCACAAACATGCAGTAACTATCAAAACATGCAATTGCCACATCAAGAGTGGTTATTTGAGTAGTAAATGTAGGGGTATGTAGCACAGTCCATAATATAATGCTATGAGGAGCCTAAATAGCTAAACCAGAAAACAAAAGTGATGCGACATTTTGGCGCATCACAAACATGCAATAACTACTAAAACATTCCATTGCCACATTACAAACATGCACTTACCACATAGTGAGTGACTATTTGTTAGTGGCAAATGTAAAGATGTGTAATATATATATGTCTCATAATATATTGTTGGAAGGAGTCTAATAGCGAAATCAAAAAACAGAAGTGAACAAAAGTGATGCGACATTTTGGAGCATCAAAACATGCAATAATTACAAAACATACAATTTTCACTTCAGGGAGTAGCTATTTGTGAGAAGTAAATGTATCTATCATGATTCATAATATAGTGTCGGGAGGAGACTAAATAGTGAACCAAAAAAACAATAGTAAGAGGAGTATATCCAAAAGGGACAAAACAGGAGGGGTATGTACATAAATGTGGCATATGCAGTGAAGCTGCTCTCCGCAAACACCGGCCATATGTCACAGCGATCAGTTGGACCGAACCATGTGACAATTAACTCCTTTGGTCGTCAATGATTGGGGATGGAGGCCACCATGCTTTTCTGATCAAACATTATGCTCACGTCTTATAATGCCAAGGATCATATTTCTCATCCTTTAATTTAATTTGCACACATTGAATCTACCCTTCTTCTTGATTACTTATCCCACTTTTTACACCCCATCAATAGATATATCACCCAAATCCAATCTATTCATCATCCACTCAATTTGTTTACCCATCCCAATGTCAATCTTAAAAAAACAAAAAACAAAAACAGTTAATCAGTTAGAAGGGTTTGATTCTAAAAGATAAATACTAATAAAAAAAACTTATACATCTTGGATAGGAACCCGACTCTCCGTCCCACCCCATCGAATATATATATATATATATATATATATATATATATATATATATGTGTGTGTGTGTGTGTGTGTGTGTGTGTGTGTGTGTGTGTGTGTGTTAGACCAAATGAGAATAAGTCTTTTTTTTTTTTTAAATGAGAATAAGTCTTTAGGAAAAAAATAATAATAATCAACGAAAAATTGCTAGAGTTTCAACGAAAAAAATAATATGTTCTTATTAAAAGTGCATTTTCGTCTAACTATTATTTTTCGTTGAAATTCCGATAATAGTTGGCCGGAAAATTAGACGGTAGGACTAAATGTGATACAAATTACAAGTCATAAACTTAATTTGAAAATATTAATAATTAAGAAGCAAATGTGATACAAATTACATAGTCATACACTTAATTTAAAAATATTAATAGTTAAGAATCAAATTTGATACATGTCCAATAGTCACGAGACAAAAAGTAAAAAAATTTTCATAAAACCATCAACTTCCACACTCTCACTTTTACAAAGAGAATCAATATGTGCCACACATATATAAAGAGTAAAAAATAAGATAAAAAGTGAGAATAAATATAAGTATAACAAACAATTTCTATCTTTATCTTTACTATATAAGATGCAGTATTCTGCATTGTAGATTCCAAACAAAAAACAAAAAACAAAAAACAAAAAAAAAAAAAAAAAAAAAAAAATCCAAAGCACAGTCCTCGAGAATAACTCAAGAATCTAATAAATATTATATTAAGCCGGAATGGACCAAAAAAGCTGACTACCAATACTAATTTCATTCTCATGATATTTATTTGGCTCTATGAAAAGATCTAACATCTGATATACATTGCATCAGGATGAGTATTTGACAGCAAAATATGAGGCAATTCCACAATGCAGAATAAAGAGCAGAAACCACATAACTAATCAATCTTCCCATGTTCTTCTCAGTTCACTTCCACAGTAAAAGCATTTCCTAATCTTTCTCCAAACTATTTTGTAAAACATGGTTTTCTTTGTAATTTTGACATCTAAATGATACTAGCCCCCTGTTTCTTCTGTAAGCCATATGGCTGCCCGCACTATTAGAGATAAAGCATTCTGCAAGAGCAAGATTTCCCCCAGAGAAGCTTAGAGTTCCACTGTTCGTCCCCAGGACTAATCTGTTATTCCCTTGGAAAGTGTTCTCGGGAATGGCTTGACTTGAAATGTTGGAAGTATTATACAGCATATGGAGGGGTGGTACCTGGAATGCCATGTTCATGCTGCTTTGATCATAAAGGCAAAGACTTTTGGAGTTAATGTGGGTAAAACTTCCAGTCCCAGATGGTTCCTCCTCCTGGCTGCCAAGAATGTAACCAATATGATTGTTTGCATTAATGCCCAAACTTTGCTTTTGTATGATTGAGTCTTTGTTAGCCGTGATCACGGTTGGTTGAATTTGATTCCTCAAAGGGACCGTGTTGTTCAGATTTTCGACCAGCGCTTTTGTCAAGACAGTAGGCAAAGCTGGATATGAATCATTGACTAAACAATTTGGCTTCTTCAACGATTGATCAATGTTTACTTGCTCTATGCAGATTGTAGAACAATTGGTAGAATCAAGATCCAGTTTCTTCTCCAGAGACCTAACCGCTGGTTTGCAAGAGTGACTGCGATTTCTCCTGGATGGTTCACTTTTGTTCTTAGACTGTCTTTTTACAGTATTTTGTACTTTCCTTCGGGGCGTGGGAGCTGGTTTCTGAGGGCTCAGTTTTGTCATGTCATCTTTCATCTGTGTGAACATAGTCTCTCTAGCAACCTTGAGTTCCCCCACAACCGACTCTCGGAAAGTCTTGAGATCATCCCATAATGCACTCTCCATGGCGCTACTCTTCTGCTTCTTCGGGCTGTGTTTGACAGGATCTCTCCTTTTCACATTCTTGATAGCTCTACAATGATTGCTTGATCCAATGTGTTTTTCTGTAGCTTCCATGCATCGAAAATTAACATCCGAATTACTATCAAGTAGATTCCTCTCCTGAGACAAAATAATTCTGGGAAGTAAATTCTGTTTCATTCTACGTGCATCACAACTGGAGCTTGATTTGGAGTCATCACTGGAAGAATTAAACTCATCATCTCTCCTCCTAAATTCCCACCGCTCCTGGAACCTTGGGTCCTTGTTCATATTCAGGCCAGGAAAAATCACGTCTATGATGATACCAAACCAGAAACCTGATAACTTACTGGATTAAATACCCCCAGAAGTGCCAGCCAGTAACTAAATAAATACGGAGTATTATTCTGGCCAATGCTCCCCACTCGGGCTTAAATTTGCACTCGTTTCAAATATCAATGAAGGCTCTTGGTAGAATCCTCTTCTTCACCTATTAAATCCTCTGAAATGGTATTCAAGAGAAGAGACATTTGGTGGTTTCCACTTTCCATGTTTCTATTGGCTCCATCTTTCATATAAAACAAGATTAAATACTTGATCAATCAATATTATTCTACTACCATATTCAACACTGGACAATGCTACATGGACCAAATCTTTTAGACCTAATCTTGTACCATCTGTTGTGGTTTCATAGATCAGTTCATGATGGGATAAGCCAAATCACAGATAGCCAATGAATATGAAAGGTTTTAACACTTGTCACAACGACAGAACCCACATTATTTGGTCCAAATAGCATTGTCCTCTAACCAAATTCAGTGACTTTGATATACTAAAGAATATGAAAGCATGAAAATTCATTAACTCAAACACACATGCCTTGTTTTTCGTCAATAAAATGCGAAGTTGAGAACAGACTAGTTTGGCCTACAAGTAATCTAGAAGCTGAAATAGAGATGGAAAACAAAGTGATATCATATCATATCCCTGAACCCAGATGAACAATCAGACCAGTGAATAACACTCAAAAAAAATTGAAAAAGAAAATGAAGAATGGTTTTACCGTATTTCTCTTCACAACAGCCAGTCAACCTGTCTTGTCCTGTTGTCTCGATTAGTGGGATACAGATTTCTGTTTGCACTTATTCTCTGCTCAATACTCTCAAGATAGAAAGAAAATATCTTATTTTTATGCGTGTTTGTGATATTTCTAACCGAGAACTGGTTTACCATATATGGATGAGAGATTAGTTGGCGAGTGTGAGGTTGTAGTGCTGGCAGAGTACTGATGAACATTTTTACTGAATGAATGACAATTACCCTCTCCAATGAGAGGATAGTTAAAATGTCTAATAAACCCAACAAATGATAGAGTATCATTTTAATTACTTTCATTTGGATTAAATAAAATCCTAATGTAACCAGTTTAACTTCTGCATCACACTTATATAATTGAGTTGAAAAAACAACCACTTCAAGAACATTGAAAGAGAAACACTATGGAGTATGGACAGTTAAAGCAAAAGATTGAGTGTATCGATCAACCAATCCCCTCATCTTATGAAAAGACTTTGCAACTACCTGTGCCTTCTATCGTTCCATAGATGATTTGGAGAGAATTCTTCATGTTTCTTTAACACTTCCTTTTCTCTATGAGCACTCAAAGAATTGTTACATTTGTTAGAAAAACCTAGAACACTTTCTTTATTCAAGAGTTTCAAGGGTCTCTCTCTTTGAATGATGCCTATAAAATGAAGCAGCCAGCACTAAATTGGGGTCTTTCAGAAACCAAGAAAGCCAAAAGAATTGCTACAGGTGACTGGCTCAAACCAAGAAAACCAATAGGTCACTATCTCTAGGTGTCGAACTTGATATTGTGATTACCAAATCAATTGTCTCAGCAACTTGAGAGGATGTCCCCAAATTCATTTGATATCATGTGTGATTGTATCCTTAATTGATTGATTATATTAGCTAATAGCCATTGTTCTGATAACATTGTAAAGGTATATTTACAACAAATACTTAATCTAAAAACTCAGCTACAGTCAATCTAAACTTAAGCTCCGGAACTCTTGGCCATTCCAAATTAATCTAATTCAAGTGAATACAAACATGAAAAATAAGCAATTTACCAAATCCAGTTACCTTAGAATCAAACTTTTCAGAGCTCTCGTTTTCACTTCGCCATCTCCTGATATGTCAGTTAGCCTCTGCAACTTAGTGAACAGTTCCAAACCCGCCACTTCTTCAGGCTCGGATCATCAACGCCATCGAATTCGCGTTCCAGTTGAATATGCATTTTCTCGAAATAGCTTTATCAATTTCTCCAGATAAACAATCCTAAGAGCTTTAGAGGGCATGTCCTCCACGCCTGCAATGGCATTCTACAAAATGGACAGCTCGTTCTTGATGAACGGAAACTCTGAAACTTGCCGAAATTTAATAAAATGTTTAATGCATTTTACCATTTAAGAGTCATGGATATGGGAACTGGGAAGTTCTAAAGACTTTAAAACAAAGAGACAGAAAAAAAATGATGTGATATTTTTATAAATAATTCAAATTTAAAATGTAAATAATAGACAGATTATGTATCTTTGGTTAGTGAATAGTGATACCTTTCTCCTAAAAGGTTCTTCACACTTTGGTCTAACAAATGACAGGGTCAAAAACTCGAAATGTAGGTATGCGCACTAAGGATCTGTCTATTTTAAGTCTCACACTGTGATTGTCGAGTTTCGAACATTAGTCTTTTCTCTTAAATACTATCTATTGAACGAGAGTTAAACCTGTGCGAGCATGTTTAGTTATATTCTATATAGTATAGAAAGTTGCACTTTAAAATTTAAATTATTTACAAAAATGTTGCCACATTTTCCTCTTTCTAATTGCTTTAAATCGATCTTTTCAAATTAACAACTTTGATTGGTTCTTGGATCTGTCTTGGGAAATAGTTATCACCAAATTGTGCCCCTATACACACATACACACACAATTTGTTGTATTAGCGGTTTTGTAAAAAACATGTTTGATTAAAATTAACTATTTATCATTTTTTTAATACAACTATTTATCATTAGTAGTTTATATATAAAAAGATCTACAATAAAAAAAAAAAAAAAAAACACACACACACAATTGTGCTACTCTACAAGAGAAGCTCAACGTCCCTCTTTCTTTTTTTTTTTTTTTTTTTTTTTTTTTTTTTGGGACAAAAGGATGGATTACTCCCGGGTGTAAAACTAATGAGTAACTCCACGTTGAATGTGTGCGCCACTCTTTGTCTTCCCACAGCAAGATCTGTACTGGGGTTGGAGGTGAATCAATATTCCGGTTGCCCAAGGTGTGATCAAGGGCGGAGGCGGCTAGCCAATCCGTCACTCTATTTTGCTCACGAACAATGTGTATGTACTCCACCTCCTCAAGTTTTTGCACTCACGAACGCAAGCCCGCACAATGTTCCGCCCTCTACCCACCTCTTAGTTGGCCATCTGGAGAGCGTTAATCGTCCCAATCGAGTCACTCTCTATAATCAGTCTCCGAGCACCGTACGCAACTGCCATGTGAAGCCCCTCCAAGACTGCCCAAGCTTCAGCTTCCTCCGCCGAGCACGATCCAATGTTATGAGAGAACCCTCTTAACCAAAGCCCCTGGCTATCGCGTAGGACACCCCCACATGCTGCCCTCCTAGTAGCGTCCTTGCAACGCTCATCAAAGTTTAGCTTAATCCATCCCATACGCGGTTTCTCCCAAGCAGAAATTTTCTCGCCCAGCCCTGCTCGTACTGCCGCCGGTGACCATCGTTTTTTGAACGCAGCCTGCACCTCATCACACTGATCTTGTATCCACTGACGGCGAAAAAGCCAAGTTTACAGACTTGCATTCGAAAACCCTTGCATTGCGCCATCTCCAGCACCACCATAAAACAATCCCAAATGTCGCATGCCAACCTTCCAGAAAGCCCAGTCGGCGTGTTGCCTTCAGGTTCGTAGCCAGCCAATCTGCCCAATCTTTTGTTTTGAGTAAGTGCACTGTCGTTGCGGGGAGAAGCGACTCCCAAAGCCCATTATTCTCTGGGCAGTCTCGAAAGATGTGGAGTAATGTCTCCGGAGTACCTACAAAAAGTGAGCACGAGTTATCAGCAGTAAAATGCTTCTTAAAGCGTTCCTCATTTGACATCACTTTGCTATGTTTTACTGAAGTGAACCATTCTGCTTGGGATCTTGATTGCCCACAAGTTCTTCCAGTCACGATCAACCATTCCTGTTTGTTCTTCCTGAATGGCTTCATAGGCTAACTTGATTGAGAAAGCCCCATTCAACTCTCTACTTCATCCCCAAGTATCCTCCTCCTCATCATCCTCTAAAACGACATAGGCGTTGATCCTTGCTTTCCATTCAGCTGGAAGCACCTTGTCAAGCAGCTCCCAATTCCATCTGCTTCCATTTTCCCAGTAGTCAGCTACGTACGCATAAAGCTCCGTTAGGGGAAGATGTTTGCATTTGTGGTCGTAGAGCCTATGGTCTGTCGCTCAGGCATCCAACCAAAACTTCATACTCCGACCATTGCGGATAACTCTCGTGATGCCTCAGTCCAGGACGTGTGAAGCACAACAAATACCTCTCTATACATTGGACAAACGCTTGCCCGTCTCTGCACGTCTGCCCTCGTCAATCGGTTCATACTTGCTCCTCAGTACCTTGATCCAAACATTGTCAGGTTCCATTAGCATGCGAAATCGTAGCTTTGCCATGAAGGCCAAGTTGACATCGTGGATTTTCCTAATACCCAATCCTCCGTCCTGTTTGGCTTGCGTTACTTTCTCTCATTTGACAAGACTCAAGGACCTGGTGGCATCCACGTGAATAATCTTCTATAGCTCATCGCAAATCCCTTTCGGCAGCCACATTGTTTGCATGGTGTACGTGGGCATGGCACTAAGAACGGCTTTGGCCAACGTAACCCTTCCAGCCAGTGCGAGGGTTTTTGACTTCCAACCACCCAACCGGGCCTTCACTCTATCGAGAAGATCGGTGAAGGTTCTTTGTATGACGTGCCTATGGATCGATGACACCCATCCCAAGATAGCGGCCCAAGTCCTCCGTTCTTGCGACTCCAAGTGCATTAGAAATTTGCTCAGCCAAGTCTGTATTCGTATTGCTGGAGAAGTGGACCTGCGATTTCTCAAAGCTTACTTTTTGCCCAGAAGCTCCACAAAAGAGCTCCAAGCAGGTTTTGATAACATCAACTTGGTCTATGGTCGCTTGAGAAAATAGGACCATATCGTCTGCAAAGCATAGGGACAACACCAGGCCTGATGGTGCCAGTCGGATCCCTTTCCACGAACCTTTAGCTACCTCAACTAAAATAATCTGGCAAAGACTTTCCAAGCAAAGTACGAACAAAGTCGGGGACATCACATCCCCTTGTTTGACTCCCCTTCCCGGTTTAAAACGTTCCATGCGTGTTCCATTCCAAACAATAGACATAGTAGGTGTGCGAACGCATTCCATAATGACCCGGACCCACTGTTCAGTAAACCCTGCATCAATAAGATTATCATTAATAAAATTCCAGGAGAGTCTGTCGTAAGCCTTTTCCAAGTCGATTTTGATGGCCATCATGCCCGTATTCCCTTCTTTGACCTCATAGTATGCATGACTTCCTGGTGTACAATCACATTGTCCGTGATTTACCTCCCTGGAACAAAAGAACTCTGGCATGGTCCAACGAGCCCTGGAAGGATAAATTTGAGTCGATTAATAATAGTCTTAGTTATCAGTTTATAAGAAACGTTACACAAGCTTATAGGCCTGAATTGTTTTATAGTCTCCGGCATCTCGATTTTGGGGATAAGAACTATCAATGTATCATTAACTGTGTCGGGAATTTTGCCCGTTTCCACAGCTGTCTTCACCATTTTAAAGACGTCGTCCCCCACAGTTTCCCAGATTTGCTGGTAAAACGCCGCATGAAGCTCGTCCGGCTCTGGCGCCTTCATCGGGCTCATGTCAAAGGTGGCTACCTTGACCTCATCCTTCGTAACCTGCCTATTAAAGCTCTGCCAAGCATTAGGCAAGAGGGTGGGGAAAAGTCCCCTCAGTGTATCCTCGGTGCTCTCGGTTGAGTCGTTCCTAAACAGATTTATATAGAAGTCTTGGACATGTTGTTGGAGGCGACCCTCTTCGAATAACCAATCACCAGGACTTGTCTTTAGGCCCCTGATTTTGTTACGGGCTCTACGAACCATCGTCGCCGCGTGGTAAAATTTGGTATTTCTGTCCCTCGACACAATCCAGTCATCCCGTGATCGTTGGAACCACATTAATTCTTCCTAATAGAATACGTCTTCAAGGTCAGCTTTTAACTTCCTTTTCAAGTTTCCATAAACCTATATGGAAGGAATCCGCCATAATTCGTTGGATCCCTCCAATCCTGGCTAGCAAAATTTTCTTTCTTTCTGCTATACTCCCAAACACTTCATTGTTCCAAGTAACAAGATCAGTCTGGACAGATTTTATGTTTTCGGGCATGCTCAAAGTTGGGTTCCAGGACTGATTCACCACGTCATTGAAGCCATCATGAGTGAACCAGGCAGCCTGGAACTTAAACTGGGCACCTAATTCCCTTATGTTCCCCATATCAGTGCGGATTAAAAGGGGTATGTGGTCTGAACAAACTCTCGGCAGATGTTGGACGGAGGCGTCAGAGAAGTCTCCACTCCACGGTACACAAAGCCCAATCATGCCTTGCTCCTTTTGTTGTAGAGGCATTAACCCC